GCAGATCCGCCTCGTACAAACTGAAACGACTAGCGGGCAACCCTGAGTTGCCATTGGCCCATATTCGGGTTAAGCCATCAAGACGCAATTCTTGCTCTCAGTTTTTATTCTAGTGGTTCGCTTTATAGTTAAAAAGTCCCAAGGTGTCCTCTCATTCCATTTCCTATGCCCCTGACTCTTCCCCCTTCCCTCTATTTCTTCCTTTTGGTCCTCCACCTTGCCTCCACATTCGCCCCTCCTCGCAACTACTGTCCTCCCCCTCGCCCCCCGCCCCACATCTCCCTTCCCACTCCACCTCTACATCCCTCTCGCCGCTTCCCTCCCCCCCCATCTCACCATTCCATACATCATCAACCCACCCACCCTCACCCTCAACCCAACTCCCACTAATATACCACCAGCACCACCATCACCACCCCCAGCTCTCCCCTCCTCTCCTCCTCTCTAATTGCCTCCTCCTATCGCCGTCCTCCCTCCTTCTGCCTCCTTCTGCCAACCCTATGCGATAGCTGCCACCGCCTCCTCCTCCTCCTCCTCTTCGTCCTCGGCCAACGGCAGCGCCCGAGAGCACCTGCTGGCGGTGCGTCGGCGCACACCGCACAACCGGCCGTACACGATCGGGCCCGACAACCTCCGCAGCCTGTCGGTGCAGGGCGCAGCTGGAGCCTCCACCTCCGCGTCCTCCTCCGCTATGTCGTCAGGGAACCAACCAGAAACGACGGGCGTGGGGCTCCAGCGGGCCAATAGCGACACGGACCTGGTGACGTCAGACAGCCGGTCTTCGCTGACGGCGTCTATGTACCAGCTGACTCTAGGCCACAGCCACCTGGTCATCTCCTGGGACATCAAGGAGGAAGTGGATGCCACCGACTGGATTGGCCTGTACCACATCGGTGAGCAAACTCAAACTCACCTCCCCCCACTGAAGTGTGGAACAGTCCGCTTCAGGAAGGGGACTTTAAGATCTGTACATAGAAATAAAGGAGCAGTATTGTTCTTGAATTTCACGGTAGCTGGTGAGCCTCAGTGTTTTGAGTGCAGTCGCCAAATCCAATAAAGAGCAAGGCAGAGTCACTGACGTTAGACTAAACTCTGATAGGACCCAGGACCAGCTCCCACACAGGGCAGGATACAACACAGTTGATATGGCACTAAGCTAGTTAGTCAGGCATGCCACAATTTATAGCTTCAAAGCACACACACACACACACACAGTTTAATCAATTTCGCTCTTGTTTTTGGTTTTCTAGAAATATGCTCCAACCTCTATGTATACTGTGTGTTTGTGGCTGTAGTAAGCCGTGCCTCGTTCGTGGACCAGTCGTTTCAGCACTAACATCTTTTCATGCATTCTTGCCGCAACTGATTTCTCATTGATGGCTGGTATTCGCATTTTAACATCATGAATTATTCTGTTGGCTATAAACTCACCAAGGCTACCCTACACTCAAGTTTATTATCCAGGTCTGATGGATATTCTGGAGTAATTGCACGACATTTTACTCATGATCACATTACAGCGAACACAAATCTACCTTTTCAGACGATTAATTTGACTGTAATATCACAAAAAAAAACGCACAGCAAGTTTACAGGTATTTATTTTTTGCTGTCCAGTAAGCTATTAATTGTATCGTCATCATTCTCGCCTGTCTTCCTTCTTAATGTCTCTCCATCTGACGTCGTCTCTCCCTCTATCTGTCTCCCTGCCTGTAAAAATTGCTGTGGGATAGTGATAGCGCTACTGAGGAGGTTGCGACTTGTAACTCATCTTCTCAAGGTTAGAGCATTACATCAACCCCACGGCTGCTACATTAACTGACTAATGGATTGTGTGTGTGTCCGAAAAAGATGGCGAGAGAAAGGGAGTAGGTTATCCTGAAGAAAGTGATGCTGACTCAGCATCAGTAGCATTTATGAGCAGTATGTTTCTTCTCATATTACACTCACACTCACACATCATTTTAAGTACATCCTTCTCGTCCTACAGTGATGTTCTTGTGAATGATGGAGGGTGTGAGGTGAGGCGCTATCTGTCTGTCTGTCTGTCCCAAAACCATACTAGAAAAATCTGTGTGAATATGCGAATGAAATTTTACAAGGAGATGTGGGTTGTTGGTTTTTTTGTACCTTAAGGACATTATCAGCATCACAATTTAATTTTTCTTCCATTTTCTAGTAGTGTAAGTGTTTTCTAAGCTGCCGTCATCACAAGAAGACACTGTGAGACAATTATTGAGATAGAGCTCTCGCCAGCGTTGTTATTATTTTCTTTAAAACCTTCCCTTTAAAATCTATATATAGTAAAGCATAAAGAATTTAAGATTCTGTTTCCCAATTTAAACATTAAATAGCTGGGCACTCAACATTGGACTACAGGCTAGAAATCTATGATAAGGGATGGTCTAGTAGAAGATGCTATGGAGTTGCATTATGCTGTCATAGGATCCAGTGTTTTTGGAGCTTAAACCAAACTAAAGACTACCAGTAAAGATATCTCGACCCCTGCTTTACCAATTTTAACCATTCTTTTGTTAAAAGTCCCCTAATTTGTTGGAAGAGCAATGCTAAAACCCTAGAGTATCCCCTGAAGGAAAATATTAATTTTAACCAAGACGCACAG